CATCTCTAAGGAACTTACATTTATAAGAGAAAAACAACCCTATGAAAAAGTGAGTAGAGCACGTGAACAGACACTTTTCAAAAGAAGATGTACATGCGGCCAACAATCATACGAAAAAAAGCTCAACATCACTGATCATTAGAGAAATGCAAATCAAAACCACAATGATATATCATCTCACACCAGTCAGAATGGCCATTAAGAAGTCAAAAAATTATAGATGCTAGCAAGGTTGTAGAGAAAATGGAACACTAATACACTGTTGGAGAGAGTATAAATTAGTTCTAACATTGTAGAAAGCGGTATGTCGATTCCACAAAGAGCTAAAAGTAGAACTACCATTAGGCCAGCAATCACATTACTAGGTATATATGCAGAAGAATATAAGTCATTTTACCATAAAGACACATGCACATGAATGTTCATTACAGCACTATTCCCAATAGCAAAGACATGTAATCAATCTAAATGCCCATCAATGACACATTGGATAAAGAAAATGTGGTACATATACACCATGAAATACTATGCAGCCATAAAAAGGAACTAGATCATGTGTTTTGTGGGAACATGGGTGGAGCTGAAGGCAGTAACTTTAGCAACCTAACGCATGAACAGAAAACCAAACACTGCATGTTCTCACTTATAAGTCAGAGTTAAATGATAAGAACTTATGAACACAAAGAAAGAAACAACAGACACTGGTGTCTACTTGAGGGGGGAGGGTGGGAGGAGGGAGAGCAGCAGAAAAGATAATTATTGAATATTGGGCTTAATACCTAAGTGAGGCAATAATATATACAAGAAACCCCCATGCCACATGTTTGCCTATGTAACAAACCTTTACATGTACCTCTAAACCTAAAATAAAAGTTTAAAAAATAAATCATAAGGAGAAGAAATGAGAGCACAAAATAGACTTTCTGAAAAAAAGTACTTATAATTTAATTGATTTTAATATATTTACCATATAATCATGTATAACGCATAATCATTTAATTAAAATTTAAATATGTAATATATATGTATAATCAATTAAAATTTCAACAGACAAAAGAGAAGATGATCAAAGTAGAGAACAGTCTTATCAGTCTGGAAAATAGTCAAAAACACAAAACTAAACAAAGAGAGCTGAATAGACTAGAAAGGACAAAGGAAGGGCTGCTCTAAAAACTTGGAAAACATGGAATCACTATACCAACCAACCTTTGCCTTTTTTCCAAAAGTGAGGACACAGTACAAGTCCAACATGAAAGTATTATCTAAGTTTGCAAGATTGCATTACTTTTTAAGTAATCAAAAGCATAAACTGACACTTATGTATACCCCAGATGTGTCTCCCTGAATAACTTAAACTTCCAAAAGGTTGTTTACATAGTGCATTTCTAAAAACTAAGGCATATCCCACCCCCGCTTTGTCCCTTTTAACTGTAAATGTTTCCATTTAAAATTGTTGATTCCAAATTTTAATAAAAATGGAAAAACAAGATTAAACATTCAGGTAAAAAACGTTTTCAAAAAGTGGATTTGTGTAATAGTTTTAGCATTATTTATAATATACTAACTACACTATACCCAAATTGTCAAGCCTTACAGCTTGAGGAACATGAGAACAGGGGTGGCAGCTCTGTTAGTAATTTCAGCAGGTAAGCTAATGGAGCAGTGCACTTCTCTCTAGTATGAAGGAATCTATTTTACTGCCCCTAAATATTTATATTTAAAATCCTAACATCATAAGTCAAAGCCCAGTGTTAATATTTTCTAATCCTTTACCTTTGACAGTGTTTACCCAGAGTTTTTTGTACGTAAAAGGATTCTTGCTTATTTATATGTAAAAATCCTTACTTCTTTCATGCCTAATTCTCAATGAGGTGGAATAAACAGCCCTACTTGGCATTCTGGTCAGAAAAAATTTAGGAATACTGATTACTTGCTTGTTGGGTACAGCTATGAGTTTAAATAACACTAGATACATATTCCTCACACGGTGGGGTCTAGGATACTTGCTGATGGTTGGGAAACACCATCACAGATCAAATGGCTCAAGATAAGATAACGAGCTTCTTTGGAGCGAAGATCACAAATGATTTGCCATTCTTGATGAGAGATTATGGAAACAATGTCACCAACCAAATGTGGACAGGAGGTTTGGCAGTGAGCGTTGGTATTATTGGCCTCACACTATCATTTAGAGTCATCACATCTGTGTTTTTCTGAGAGCTCTTGAGTGAGCCCATTTATGAAATGTGACTTCCTCAAAGGTGTGACAGGATTCTGTCTTGTGGTCCTTATTAGTCTATGTAATCCCAGCATTGCCCAGAATCTAGCACACAGTAAAAGCTCACCAAATGTTTCTGAGTGAAGGAGAGCTCTGCATTTGATAAGTGGCTATAACTCCTTCTAGGAATTGTTCTCAGGCAAATAATATCATAGGAATGCTGCTGTAAATATAAAGATTTATCCTGAAAGGTTCATATATCACAGCTAGATTACCTCTTCAGTATCTATTAATTGAAGCTCAGACAAGAGATTGCTTAAGGTCTCTACACTCTCAAAAATTATATGACTCTTGAAACAATTGCCAAAGTTCATTTTCATGGAAAACACCTGCTGTGCCTAAATGCCTAAACATTTCCAACAGACATAATTTTTATCCAAGGATGTAGGGGAGAGGGGAGGCTTAGATGAAATAAGTTAGCAAACCATTATTCCAACCACTAAGATAGAGAGATGGTTGGGCAGAATTAGTTTTGTTTGGAGAAATATTGATGTCTACAATAATAGAACTACCTTTTATTGAATGTCTACTAAAAGCCAAGGCATTACAGGAAGTGTTTTGTATATACTATTGAGAATTCTCAGAGTGAAGTGCCCCAGATCACAGAGTTAATAGGCAACTGAGCTGCATTTGGGCCCAAGGTCATCCAGGCTCCACAGTCTCCCAGTTTGGTGGACTTCTCTAGCGGCTGTTCCAGTAAAGCCAAGGTGGAGAGAGGAATCAACCAAGGTTGCTGAGCAGCAGCAAACGAAAGGGGGATGGAGGTAAGGTGCTGAGAATGGGTAGAAATGAGACACAGATACTGAGAGGGAGGAATAAGCAAAAACCAGGCATGACAAAGGCATATGACAAAGAGAAATGACGAAGGCAAGGTTGCTTATGCTGGTTGTTAAAAACTAGTCAAGCTCCTGGGCCAATAGTTTAAATTGCTACTACAGAACTGGAAACCCCTCTTATGGGGCTCCTGAGGTTACAGCCAGGGCATTGCCCCTGGCTTTCTTTTATGGAACCATTAGAAATTTCTATGGCCCCTAATGACTCTCATCTTCTTTGATGGTTCTAAAAGCACTTCATTTTATAAATACATAAATTATTATATCTCTATTTCGAAAGGACAATCAGAACAGAAAGTGTAACTTTGACTTTGCTGCAATTTTTTTAGGTAGTGAGACCAAATCCCATTTTTTTTTTTTTTTTTTTTTTTTAAGGCAGAGTCTCGCTCTATCACCAGGCTAGAGTGCAATGGCACAATCCTGGCTCACTGCAACTTCCATTTTCCAGTTTCAAGCAATTCTCCTGTCTCAGCCTCCCAAGTAGCTGGGACTACAGACATGCACCACCATGCCCGGCTAATATTTTTGTAATTTTTAGTTGAGACGGGGTTTGACCATTTAGGTCAGTGTGGTCTCGATCTCTTTACCTCACGATCAGCCCGCCGTGGCCTCCCAAAGTGCTGGGATTACAGGTGTGAGCCACCATGCCTGGCCTGTTGGGTTGGTTTTTTATTATTTCATTTAAAATTTATGGTAGGGGAACAAATTTGTATACAGATTTAAATATGCTGAGTAGGTAGATACGTTTTTCAATATGGCTTTGATATATATTGAGTAAAAAGTATGGCCCTTTTACACATGAGCAGCCTGGATCAAGGCAAAAAAATTTGCAATAGGCATAAAGAAATCCAATAGAGAGCAAGTTGACTGTGGCTTGGACAAGGTGAGAAACTGCTTTTACTGAGTAAAAAAATAGAGTCATGCTGGGAAATATGTGACTTCCATAGTTGAAATTTCTTCTTTCTCTGTCAAACCAAAGGGAAGAGAAAGATAGTTTCGAAAGAGAGAAGCAAAAAATCCCCCAGGGAAATTAACAACGAAATTGGGAAAGGTTGAGATAACAGCTACCGCGTTGAGAAAGGCTACTCGGGGTTGTTCATCTTTGATTCCTATGAAACCATATTTTTTACACAGAAAATTTACACCTTAAGTAGCATAGATGAAAAAGTAGAGGTTCAGTTTTTACAGTGTTAGGAGAAAGAAGAAAAAGATTAAGACTGAGAAGAATTAAAGATAAGACAGAAAATTAATTCATTATATTTTGTTATTTACATGCCTTTACATTTTACTGTATTTAGTTGCCTTGGCAATAATATACTATGTAATTCTGCCCTAGCCATAATATACTATGTAAGTTTTAAAGTTTATTTTCTTCAGTTTTTTTTGGGGGGGTATAATTAGCAGAAATCATATATAAGATGTATAATATAATGTTTTGATATATGTATCCATTATGAAATGATTACCACAATCAAGCTAATTAATGTATCAATCACCTCACTGGGTTTTTTTTGTATGTTTTACAGCAAGAATACTCATAAGCTAGAAAATTTTAAGGATACATTATTATTAACTATAGTTACTAGGTCTCCAGAACTTATTCATCTTATAACTGAGAGTTTATACCCTTTGGTTAATATCTATTTTTCCCACCCCTTCACCCCGGTAACCATTCTTCTACTTTCTGTTTCTATGAGCTTTATACTACGTAATTTTAATCCCAAGTTTCAGAAAAAAAAATATCATTGAATAGAAAAAGTTCTTTATTGGGCAGGGTCCATGCTTTATAGGTCTTTGTAGCTGTCCTATTCAATCAGCTCACAGGAAATGCTACATGGGGAAAAATTCTTGGTTTTTATGTGTCTGTGTTTTTGGTATTATGAGATCTCGGAATGTTTTTGGTTTAACTACTCATCTGGGAGGCTTATCCATTTGAATTCCAGGGACAGAACCAAGGGCCCAGGGTTCAATTCAAAAGCCTTCTTGGAGTATGGAGTATGTACTTGCAAATGTATAATACTACTGGGTGGGGAGAGTGGCCAACTTGAGTTTATATACCCTATCCAAAAGCATTCTAATTCATTTTAGCCTCCAACTTTGTGCTTCCCATTTTTTTTCCATTTTAGGCCTCCATCTTTGTGTTTTGAGTGGTTCTTGGTGATCCTGGTTGAGTGTCTACTAAGTTCTGGGTACTGTAAATCCTTTTGATAATGCAACAGAGTAGGTAATGTGACTCAATTTCACAGATGAAGAGACAGACTTACAGAAGCAAAATAACTTGCCAAAAATCACCCAGTTATTAAACAACCCATGTTAGATTTTGATATGGTTTGGCTGTGTACCGACACAAAACCTCATCTTGAATTGAAATAAAAATTGCAATTCCCAAGTGTTGAAGGAGGGACATTGCTGGGGGTGACTAGATCATGGGGGTGGCTCCCCCATGCTGTTCTTGTGACAGTGAGTTCTCAGGAGATCCGATGGTTTTATAAGGGTCTTTACTCCCCTTCAGTTTGCACTTCTCTCTCCCACTGCCATGTGAAGGTTAGGTTTGCTTCCCCTTCTACCATAATTTAAGTTTCCTGAGGCCTTCCCAGCTGTGCAGAACTATGAGTCAATTAAACCTCTTTTCTTTATAATTACCCTGTCTCAGGTATTTCTGCAAAGCAGCATGAGGACAGACTAATACAGATTTTGACACAAGTAAGTCTTCTCTTTCTACTTTTACCACGCTATTGAGGGCAGTGAGCTTATTGGAGGTGTGTGAGGAAACAGGTGCTTATGTATTAAATTGCAAATTTTAGCCTGTGAAGTGACAGCAAATGTTTCTTTCCATTTTACTTTTTGTACTCTGCAATGATGGTATGTGTACAACTTTTTATTCATTCCTAAAAAAAATTGTACAAATGTTAGTTGTGAATTCATAATGTTCCCATGAAAAACTGAAGAGAAAGCTTTCATTTGTATGTTAAACTGAGAAACAAAACTGGTAGATGAAGAATACACTGTAGTCTTTTGAGGGCAGCAATGTGAAAAAGGTGGAACACAATAGCTTGTTCTTGGTAATTAAGTGCTCTGACTGCTTCTATGCTGGAAATAATTGTAATGTGTTATTCTTGCATTTCATTATTTGGAGTTTTGAAATACAGTTTGAAGAAAAGATCATTAATAAAAAAATAGAGATGATGATAACCATGATTTACATTACAAAAGCCTTTTTTTTTAGTCTCAAAAATATTTACTCTGTAGGGTTTTTAATGCTCTGAGCTCTCATAATACAACTAAGTGCTTGCTTTTTGACTCATAGTTACTTAACCTAGGGGTTAAAGTACAGGAAGACAAGCAATGACAGCAATGTAAAAGGAGGTTAAGGTGCATTTCTGAAAGGGTTTGAAGCCCTGATGATTAAAGGGCATAATGAAATAAAGCATCTTAGAAACAGTAACAATAGTAGCGAATAAATATTGAGTTTACCACTTCACAGGCACTATACTAAGTATTTTATACTAATTTAGTGCCCTCAATAATCCCATGAACAGGTTAGTGTTATTATCGAAATTTTACAGATGAGGAAACTGTGGCACAGAGAGAAAAACTCCTTGTACTCAACAATTTTTAACCCTGGAGACTCCCTTATAATTCTCTTTAACCAAAAGAAAGAAATAGGTCACAAATGTCAGAGGTAAAGGTCACTTAGAGATCAGCTTGTCCATCATTTCAACTGGGTTCCATATGAGGTGTGTGATGAATGGTCCCCAAATAAATTTGAAGATCAGTACACATTCTGCTCACTCACTTTCTTGTTCAGCCACAATTTCTGAGTTGTTTGAATTATTTTACAAGTTCATATCACCTTTAAACTCAGAATAGAAGTTATTTGGCCTTTAAAAAATTATGCAATGTGCTAAAAGCATTTGAAAAGAGTTCTTTCTTATTAATAATCTCCCTTCTAAGTTTATGTTTGTCTTTAGCCTACTTGTCTTTGTTCCACCAAGCTCCAACTACCTTAAGCAAAGTGATTAATGAAATAATTCAGAATAATTCAGGGGTTGGCATACGACAGCCAGGAGACCAAATCCCAGCATTTAAAAAAAATTTTTAAAGGGTTATAAAAAGGGAAAAAACTGTGACAGGGTTCTTATATGGTCTTGAAAAGCCCATTTACTATCTGGCCCTTCATAGAAAAACTTTGCCAACCTCTAAAATAATCAAACATTCTGAAATAATAAGTATAACTTAAGGAGGTTTTACTTTGACAATGTAAACGTGAAAATGTTTTCTCCATCCCACTAGTGATTAATTTACAGAACAATTAAATGACAAGTTAAAATCAGAATATTTACTAGCGATATAACTAAGAATATTTAGCTTTGGTGTGAACTTTATTTTGCAAACTTAGGCATGCAAGATATGGAATTTATTTCTGTACTGACTTGTTTCTCATACCACTTAGGGAGCAGAAACTTAATGTCAGTTGATTTGGGGTTTCCCTCTTTCCCAGGGCTGAGTCTACTTTTGAGGGAGACATCTGGTTCCCATGTTTCACATGTTTGTACTGCTGACACAGGCTCTACTCTTGTTCTTAGGCTTCCCATCTGTCTTACCTCTTATGCAGCAGCCCTGCTTCCCAGTCACACAGCCCACTAGTCACATAGCCTCTAGCCACACAGCCCTTTCAGGAAGTTTCCCCACTCACCAAAGCCAGATTCTTTCTGCTTAGACAATTTATTGCCTGTAATTTGGTTAGCATTTACTTATCTCAAGAATTTTGAGCCTTTCCTGAGCTCAAGAGAGTATCACTTGTAGCCTCACTGCATTTATAGCATTTGTGACATTATAATTTTCTATTTATGAGTTTATTTGCCCCCTGGCTTCTAAACACCTTTGAAAATAGGCACCATTTTGTGTTTTCATTTGTTTCTCCATTTTATAGCAGTTTCTGATACATACTAGGCACTCAAGTTCTGGTTCAAGTGAATGAGTCAGTAAATTCATTACAGAAGTCTTTTAAGGCTTAATTATAGTTTTGTCAGCATTTGAGATATTCTATGTATTAGGAATAAACTTACATTTCCTTTAACTTACTCTTTTACTGGTAAGACTGGTGTTCCCTTACATCAATGGAGATTCTGTGTGTGTATAAATATTTACTTATACACACACACTTCAGGTTTTCAAAAAGCTTCAGGTAAATAAGAGTAGAAAGTAGAACTTGAACTGGTAAGGACAGTAGATATCAAGTTTGGTAGTGCTTTTCATCAAGTATTAGAATAAGGTTCAGAACAAGGTCCAGAATCTAGTATCTCATAGATGCTGCTGGGGAGCCACTTGATGAATTCTATACAAGTAAAAAAATAATTTCTTTTATAGGAATTTTGTTTTGGTCAACAGAAACATCACCTCTTGATGTAGAAATATGGTACTCTGAGTATGTCCTAATTTCCTCAAATGTTAACTTTGTTGTCTGCTCATCTGCTATCAAAAATGTCTTCTAGGGTAACAGAAGACATTGCTTTACACACATACTTGTCAGGGAACTTGACTTAAGCACTATCCAGCAGCTTCAGTGTAGAGCTGAAGCAGATAGAAGCCTATGGGGGAACCACACAGAAAACTGTATTCCTGACCATAAAAGCTTAGTTCTCCAGAGAAATGCTATCCTATCCCTAGGTTACAAGTTAATCTTTGTTTATTGGCTTTGTTGTACAAAGAAAATGTTCAAATTTCCTGTGAAATCACAGGTGAAGATTATGAGTAGTATTAGAAGTGTTTCTAGTGCTTTTGCCAATGAGAAGAATAAGGTAGTCTCCAATAAAACTTACCATATCAAAATATGCATGGAAAGGGAGAAAGGGCAGAAGAGTGACTTTCCTAAAACCGAGGTGTAGCTTAATCTATATGTACAAACCTAATAAAGTATGTCAGCTGAGATTTAAGCATAGCCAATATATGTGTTAAGGACTGTCCAAGGTAGCACAATTCAATCTGGGCAACTTGGGCCATCTGGTCCCTTAGAGTGGTCTCTGCTGAAGAAGGGTGGATATTTAATCAAGCATCATCACAAAATGCCTGAAATGCCCCTTGCTACCTACCTCACATCACTTCAATCCTACAGTCATCAAGTAACCTTCTGATTATGCTACAAGGAGAGGATGGGTTGTGGTTTGGAGATATGAAAATTCTGGTAATTGGAATATCTTTGATCATAACTGTAACTTGATAAAGTGATTTCTTTTATGTATATTTATTCATAATATCAGACACATACAATCTTAGTAGATACTGACCATGTCCAGTTACTGCCAAAGGCCATTCGGCTACACATTTCTAGATCAAGTTCTAAAATGATGTGTCCTATCTTCTTTAATGGTAGAAACTCAGTAGCCACTAGCCAGTGCCTGAAATAAGAAGTTTAGATGTTTGCTGAGTGAATAAATTACATACACACAAAACTAATCCATTTTGAGACTTCTTGATAGCCAACCAGATTTCCCCTGGAGATTTCAAATTCTGTCTCTTTGCATATGGTCTCTCTACTTAAACTTTAGTAAAGACATTTGTTCATTAACATTCTTTATATAAGAATTCACAACGTAACTTCCTTCTATATTTTAGTGCCAGAAAAAATTATCAGGAGAAAAACTGAGTGCTTTCTTCTATCAGATATAAAATCATTATCCATCATCTTTTCTCTCAGCTGCCAGAAAATTCTAAGACATATTTACATATAATCACAATGACTATTATCTTCTGATAAAATTTCTCCCTTAAATATTTTTATCTTTATTTAAATATTGCCTACTGACTTCCTATAGTAAGAGAATTTCGCTTAAGACATGTTCTTCTTCCTTCCCTTTTATTCCATCTCCTAACATTGTTATACAGATTGAGCAACTCTAATCTGAAAATCTGAAATGCTCCAAAATCTGAAATTTCTTTAGCATCAACATGATGCTTGAAGGAAATATCCATTCAAGCATTATGGATTTCATATTTTTATTAGGAATGCTCAACTGGTATATATTCTGCACATATTCTAAAATAAAAATCTCAAAATCCAAAACACTTATGTTTCCAAGCATTTTGGATAAGGGATACTCAACCTGTATTACCATTTTAGATGCTGTATTGATTACCTCTATAACTTTAATCAACTACAGGGGAGGAAAATAATCTTTTATCTGTCCATTTTAGGAGCCCCAGCTGGGGCTCCATAACAAAAGACAGATAAACAGGAGAAAAGCATACAAATTTATTTAACATAATTTTTTCATGACACAGAAGATTTCAAAAGGAAATAAAACCTCAAAGGGGCAATAAGAGTTGGATGCTTATATACTAAATTGGACAAAGAGTGGTAAATTATGAAAATGTGACAAGACAGAGAGGCTGGGGCTAGGGCAGAAAATGGTGGAACAATAAGAAGAGAAGAGATATATTTTGGATGTTTGTCCCCTCCAAATCTCATGTTAAAATGTGGTCCTCAGTGTTGGAGGAGAGGTCTGGTGGTAGGTGTTTGGGTCATGAGAGCAGATCCCCCATGAATGGTTTGGTGCTGTCCTAGTGGTAGTGAGTGAGTTCTGTATCAATTCATGCTAGAACTGGTTCTTTTAAAGAGCCTGGAACCTCCTCCACTCTCCCTTGCTCACTCTCACTATGGGATACATGGTATCCCCCTTCTACTTCTGCCATAATTTTAAGTTTCCAGAGGCCTCACCATAAGCTGGTACCAGGTTGCTTGTATAGCCTGAAGAACAGTAAGCCAAATAAACCTTTTTCTTTATAAATTATCCAGCCTCAGGTATTACCTTATAGCAATGCAAATGGACTAATACAATAAGTTAGTTTAATAAGGTTTGTTTGTACAGGTTTTTTTAGCCCTGGTGACAAAAATGTTACTTTCCTTCTGGTAGAGAGAGGACATCTTCCATATGGGAGTTTTATATCCTGGTTTTAGGAAGAAAAAGGGGTAGTCAAAGCATCCTTCTTGCATCTGCTGTTTTAAGCTCAAAATAATTCTTTTGCCAAAATGGCATATTTGGGGTGGCATATTCCACTACCCTTCAACATATATACTCCCTCTACCAGAGACATATTTCTTAATATCTCTCTTCTCTCCATCATCCCCCTCATAAAATGAGGATATAAACATGACTTTTCCTGTTAGGTCTCTTTCTACCCCTCTTCTTCAATCTTCCAGCTTTTAACAACTTTCTTTTTATGTGATCATAAAAAGATACTTAAATTCTGTGCTATAATCAATGTTTACTGTGGTTTGCCTATGAAATGATTCTAAAACAGTATATTACTGACCTATGTAGATATCTTTCACTAAAGAGCTCAGTAGTAGTATATTTTTAAAACATTATTTTCTGTATTGCTTTTTGATTTCCTGAAGCTCCTGTGTTTCCTTTTCTTTTGCAATATGCATTTTTCATTTCCTTTGCTATGGTAGCACTGAGCTAGAAGTCAGTTCCAGGGTCCCCATTCTACCAGTACCTTGTTACATGGATGAATAATCACTTGTTTGAAGTTTACATGGAACATGACAGCCTTGGCCTTTTAGAAAGTTGTCACTCTAGATAATCTCCGATTTAGGCATTTTTCAGGACTTCAAAGGAAATACGTTCTTCATTACTGGAATCCGTAACACAAATCAGCTTCATGAAAATACAAAGTTAATAAAGGCATTCCATATGACTAGGAGGAAAAAAATACCTTAGTGTTAGAATAAAAGTAAAATTCTAAATACATAGAAACTTTATAGAATCTAGGATGAAAACATATACTTAAAAAATACAATGAGCAAAGTCAAAAGCTAAGAAGTTGGTCTGACGGAAACCAACAAAACACTCCCAAAAGTAATGAAAAGTATATGTAGTATTCAAGACAAATATAATACTTCTAACCTTTTAGGTTTCAAAATTGGTCTCAAGAACAGGCTAAATATGTATTCCTCTTTAATCAAAATAGTTTATTCATGCTTAAACCATGTAGACAAGCTTAAGACTTCTTTCTAACAAATTCTTTCTAACAAATTCACCTGTCAACCGAATGCTTTCCATGTGTAAGAAGCTATTCTAGGCACCAAGAACAAAGCTGAAAAACCAGATGTTGTGTTTAAGTACTCGGGAGTCTAGCGGACATGTCTCTGATTTATTTCAGACATGAAAGCAATAAATCACAATATACTGTACAGGGTGCTATGTGAATAGGGAAGAGTTTATCAGTCTGCTTTGGCTGCCATAACAAAATGCCACAAACTGAGTGGCTTAAACAACAGAAATTTATTTTCTCACAGATCTGGAAGCTGGAAGCTCAAGATTAAAAGGTTGGCAAGACTGGATTCTCTTGAGGCCTCTCCTGTTGGTCTTCTCATTGAATCCTCACATGGCCTCTTCTTTGTACGCATACATTCTAGATGTCTCTTCCCTTTCTTATAAGAACACCAGTCATATTGGATTTGGACTTCACCCAACAGCCTCATTTTACTTTAATTACTTTTAAAAGGTCCTATCTCTACATACAGTCATTCATTCTGTGAAGCACAAGGGGCAAGACTTCAACATATGAATTGTAAGCAGACACAATTCAGCCTGTAACATAGAAGGTGGTAGTAAAAATGGAGAAGAAGGGACAAATGGAAAGATAGGAAGTAGAAATTAACATGACTTGATTGTTTGATGAGTTAATTATATACAAGAGATATGGAGATCTGCCTGATTTTTTGTTTAGGCAATCAAGTCTCTGCTGGTGCATTTGTCAAAAAATGAATACAGAAGAAGTCTTAGTTTGGCCCCCCAAAAAGTGAGCACTTCAATTTTCAAAATGTTGTGGTTGAAGCAGTAATTTCTAGCTAAAAGGTAGGTCAAAGTCAGAGCTTAGGAAAAAGTAGTATAGATAGAAGTCAACGGTATGTGAGACTGCCCACAAAGAAAATTTAAAATAAGAACAAAAGGGAATGAAATTCTGGTGAATAATCCTAAAGGGTAGTTGAAGAAGCAGAAGGCAAATATAAAAGCTGTGAAAGTTTATCAAGAGAGACAAAGAATCAGAACAGAAAAAAATGGCACAAAAATTAAGGGAGAGAAGAATTAACTTGGATATAGTTGTTAATTCCTAAACCTTTTAAAGAAGCTTAGCGATATTTTACCTCAAGGATCATAATACTTTTTAATGAGTTCTAATATGCTTATGTTAGTAAACTAGAATATAATTTTTGATTATTTCTCACTATCCAGAATGTGTTCAAAATACCCTACTGATGTCATAGAGTTTTCATTACAGCTTTTGCAAATTTCAAATCTTTAGAATGAAAAACTATCTCTAAAGCCAAAATATGATGCCATATATCTTATAGTAATATGTAAATTAATTTTTTTCAGTATTGATTATTCTTGACAATACCCCTATTTATATTGGAATACAAATGCTGAGGTCAGATACAAAACAAAAGCTACCTATAACAATATATATGCCTTAAATACTGTAGAGGTTGTAAGATATCTAATGGATTAATATTTGAACAATATAACATCTTGGAATGTCCTGCTCTTAGAGCACTAAGTAGTTTGAAATCTTTTCATGAAATCTACTTGAGTGACACTAACGATTTTATGCAGAAAACTGAAAACAAGTTGCATATGGGAGTAACATTCATCAGCTATACTGTAAATATTATTTGGAAGCAATCAGATAGAGACACTTTAAAATTCCACATCACTCTGGAGAACCTAAGGCACAGATACAAATGATTTATTATGTTTTTAAAAAGTGACAAAAGGGAGTATTAATTCTGGAAGATTTTTAATCAATTTAACACTATTATACATTAGAGGAAAAAATTTTGCACAAACATTCCCTCACAAAGCCAGTAGTTTTATATTTACATGGCATTATTATGGTAATTTAAAATGCTAATCTATGATACAATGTTACTTCAGAAAACATATAATAAAATATAGTTGTTTTATAGCCATGCTCCCATTTTTGATGAAAGCTAGTTAGCTCATTCTAATGTTAGTTTAATACTTTAAAAATGCATAATAGATATTCAGTCAGCATTACACAACCTTTAAGACAGAAGTCTGTCAAACAGAATAGACAGAGGGCTCATCATCACTTATGTCTGAATCTTCATCTACTCCTTCAATAACTGATTTCTTCCCTTTACAACAGGATACAATTAATCCAATCAAGAATACCTGTAAATTCAAATAAGCTATGTGTTATTTTTCAAATTTAAAATCATTTGTAAAGTAATGCTTTAAAATTCAATGACAGTACTATGATATAAATAGACTACTAATATACAAAGAGTTTACCTGTTTAACTATAATTTACAAAGGAAGGTCAAATCATGCCGCAGGTATCTGTACTTACCCCAAGAAACGCCCAGTTACCAAAATAGTAAGCAGCACTGAAGAACCAGAACTTGTGAAGGAATAGGTATGTCCGGGTAACAGTACACTGATCTGTAAAAGCAAATACAGTAAAAGACTATGATGAGATAGGTTCTTTCATAAAATTGATGATTAATACTTTCTCTAAAAGCGAATAACCAAGATCATATGGCTAATAAGTGTCAGAGATGGGACTGAAATTTAGGCCTCTCTTCAAAGGCCACTCTTTCAGTCACCTTAATGTAGTGTTAAAAACTGCCAACTAATATGACATATTTTTTTAAAAATGAATGCTGCCAATGCAATCCAGATCTTAGGCATAAAAAATTATTTTGGCTAGTTTGCTTTATTAGAAATAGAAAAATCACTTTTACTTGGAGTATCAGACATATCCTAAAACAAAATAGTTTTCCTGATGAACATCAAGAAAAAAGAACAAAGTAATCAGATGTGGTTAGTATTAAGTTGCACATGTAGGCGCCGAAAGGTCTAAAACCTTTCCTCACCCACTGTAAGTTTCATGGCCAACACTCCTATAACAGAAGATAGGTTAACAAGAGAAAAGCATAACACATTCATTTAATCAATTTTACATGACACAGGAGGCTTCAGGAATGAAGACTCAACGACTCAAGGGGAAACTGTATATTTTCATGCATAGTCAATGAAGAATGGAGAGCTAAGAGCTAAGAATAGAGAATAATTAGACAAAAGTGTATAACCTAATGGTAACAGTTTGAGCGGGGAAAGCCAGCAAGGTCTGTATGTTCAGATTCTTCTTGGTCTTTCTATACAGCATTCCCTTCTTCATGGTATAGGGCAGAACACCTTCTGGAATGAGAGTTTTATGACCTACTATCAGACAAGGTAGGTCACAGAATTTCTTTATGGCCAGCTTCTACATAAAAAGGTGAGGGAAGTTTAATATTTCTAGGTTTATGGCTGGCTTTGGGGAAGTGGGGTTCTAAGTTCTATGACATGGTTGGGGTAAGAGAAATTCTAGTTTCTATGGTCTGCCTTGGGAGAGAAAGGGGAACAAAAGAAAGAAGGGCAAGAGAAGACCAAAAGGATACTTTGCTTCTGGGGCTCTTTCAATATCCTTCAGTTCAAAGTACTTAGCATGTATAGTGTGTGCTATCATTTGCTTATCCCCAAAACACTTTTCTAAGAAACAAAATCTCAGTGCAGCTCAAACTTGAGAGGTTTCTTTCAGCTTTTAGCTTTTTATGACTGCTACTGAATGAATGGTTGCTTCTTCTAAAGAAATTAAATTACATAGATGGGTGTTTTTATGCCTTCTACCACTTTCCTAGAACTAGTACAACTCTTAACTGTGCCAGTCCCCAGTTCACCAACTTTGTACCCAGTTGTCATCTCATTCAAATATGGGTTTACTTGGAGACAGTGGCCATAGCTGTTACTTGGCATGTTTGACTTTTGACAATAATAAAAATGGTTTTGGATTTTATTTCCAAAAAATGTATACAATGTCGGGACTTCACATTTTATATACTAGTATCTGGCTATTAGTATTTTACAGGAGCCATAATTCTTGGTGACCACACACACACACACACACACACACACACACGACTTTTTTGTAAACTGTCATTTCAATGTTACAATCATTTTTAGTTATTGTAATCAATGTGAATGTCATATTTTTTTCAAATTTGTTCTGAGCCTATAGTGTTTGCTTTGTGAACATAAGTGTATTGTATATATTCTGTATAGTTATATTGTACTGAAATATTAGCTTGTTTGATATAAGGAAAATATGTATTGAGTATCTTTTTGCTAGCCTGATTGTTTAATCTTTTTAAAAAAGGTTTAAACTTTTTTTTTTTAAATATTTAAATTGGCCTTTAATACATGGTCACAAATAAAGTTGCAGTTAGGAAAGGGATGGGCAGAAGGCAACTAGTTTTGAGCATCTTTAAATAGAAATATGAGACTAAGGTTTTGTTTTGTTTTTGTTTTCTCATTAAAGTATCTTATGCTTTATGGAAAAAAGAAAATCATTATTTACTGATATGATTCCTGTTGGAACTTCAGATAGCAGTATAGCTATAATTAAAAATAAATATATTTTTCTCCTTCAAATAAAATGTAACTCTTAAAGAGAAAGTCGCAGACTGGTTATTTCATATTTGTGTAAACCCCATACTAGTTTTGTCCAAATACATTATTTCCATTAGGTTACAAAGTCATTGACCCAATTGACACATAGCTAGTAAATGATGTCTCAGGAAATATTTATTCAAGCCATTCAGAAAGGCCTGCGGCAACACGATACAGCTGACTTCAAACAAAGCAGGTTAGAGGTACCCACCACCATGCGCAGACAAAAATCCACATATAACTTTTGACTCCTCCAAAATTTAACTACTAAATAGCCTAGTGTTTTCTGGAAGCCTTACCAATAACACAAACTGTTGATTGACTCATATTTTGTATGTTATGTGTATTACATACTGTGATCTTACAATAAATTAAGCTAGAGAAAAGAAAATGTTACTCAGAAAATTATAAAAAGTAAAAATATATTTACTATTCATTAAGTGGAAGCAGATTATCATTAAGGTCTTTATCCTCATTGTCTTTACATTGAATTGGCTGAGGGGGAGGGGAAGGAGGGAGAAGAGGAGGGGTTGGTCTTGCTGTTTCGAGGTGGTAGAGGTGGAAGAGGCAAAGAAAGTAGAAGAGGAGGCAGGAGAGGCAACTGCAACTTTTCTAATGTAGATGGCAGGGTGATGGATGCAGCAAACCATACACATACACTATGGCACGTGTATACCTATGTAACAAACCTGCATGTTCTGCACATGTACCCCAGAACTTAAAGTACAATTTGAAAAAAAAAAAAAAATCCGGCATAAGTGAACTCATGCAGCTCAAATCCATGTTGTTCAAGGGTCAACCATATTATGTAATTGAGTGAAAAATTATATACAGCTAGTGCTCGACTTACGACCACAATTGTTTCCGACAGACCGGTCGTAACACGATTTGGTCGTAAGCTGAGTAGGCTATATGTACAGTACTGTGAAATGATGTTATAAAAATCTTTAAGTCATATCTTATCATAATTTTCTTTCATTATTGTTATATATCATAATTTTCTTTGTTCATTTTATGCCATTTGTATCATCTCTACACCATTTTGTTTCTTATTTTTACATTTGTCAGGTTTAAGTAAAACACTGCATTACCAGTAGTAAAAGTTGACCTGAATGCTTATTATGAAAGCATTCTTGTCAAATCTCATTTTTAAAAAGGCACCTTAACTTGTGGTAAAAGCACAGCTTTGTGTAAAACTGTGGAATATTCAGATCACTGAACCACAGTGGTCTATGGTTTGAAGTGAAAAACCACAGCACATGATGAGTTTTGAAAAGCAGAAGAGTATGAACTATGTTAAGTCTTAGGGTTGAAAAGGACTAGTTGCCAGGTATTTATTTATTATCATTGTATATAGAAAAGTAAATCATCACAACTTTATGTGACTTTCCATGGGATACAAATATGTAGCATTCATCATAAAAGATGTCATCCGGATATCTTGTTCAAATATAATTTAAACTTAGTATGTTCTAATATTGTTAAAGATATAGGGATATAAGCCACTCACATTTTAGTAAGAAAGGCAAGAAAATGACTAATAATGATATGATATAGCATATATGTTTATTGTCCCGCACTGTCGTACACCCAGCTGGGCAACGTTTGCGCTGCCAGACGCAGAGCGGTCGTGGCTAGCTATTGTGGTTGTAAAGTCGTAAGTTGCATAGGTCGTAAATCAATCAATACCTGTATGCTGCACCTAATAGAGGATACCAACCTCACAAATTTCAGAGGGCCTTTATATCTAACAGAAGAAAATCCTTATCTTACAAAGCAACTTCTTCTCAGTCTGTTAATTACAAAAGAAATTATAACTTCTGCATATTTTTATCCAAAATGGACAATGGCAAAAAGATGCTACATGCAATTAGGAGACCAATCCCATATCCTATTTCTAACCATGAAAATACACCTTTTATTTTTCTGAGCTCTCTTCTTAGCTTCAATATGTAAGTGCTATTTTCTCTCAAAACATAAATTGAGCTGAGGGCTACATATTCCAGCTTATTACATAAGGGATCTAATAACACTTTTTCTTGTTCCTGTCACATGGTTTTCTGAAAATAGCATTAAAGCTATATTTTATCAACATATAAGACTTGTTATATAAAGCTTCAGATATGTTATATAAAGATTTGGATAATCTAAATTTTATAGACTCTAAACCCTTAAACTGTACTTCAACATTTACTTCTGAATTGCTCAATACCAAACTGAACAAACTTCTTTCTGTAGAAAAACACGCAATTTAACAGAGAAGCTATCTATTGATCCCAAAGGCACCCTTCAAAGATTTCTTCTCTTTATCAACAGAAAAGTCTAGAAGAAATATTCACACTTTTCTAAGAAAACCAGAGGGGTTTAAGCAGCATTAGCTGAACATATTTCTGTCTCCTATAGTTAGCACAGATGATTAGAGCTTTACACTAGGTGCTGGGAGTTCAGACTCGCAGCAGAGACTCCTAGATAGAAAATGTCTTTGTCATTTACTTTGTACTCCCACCACACTGTATTGTCACTTTTATTGTAGAACTTACTTCACAGCGATATAGCTGTTCAATTTGTAATTTTTTTCCAGTAGATATTGTAAAATACCATTGGAGTACTCAATCGATTAATATTCAGTGACTGTTGAAGTAAAATAAATGTAAAAGGGGATATTTCATTTAAAATTCATATTGTTAAACAGCACATTTTCTTTCTTTCTTTCTTTTTTTTTTTTTTTTGAGACAGAGTCTTGCTCTGTCACCAGGCTGGAGTGCAGTGGCACGATCTCGGCTAACCTACATCTCCCGGGATCAAGAGATTCCCCTGCCCTCAGCTTCCCAAGTAGCTGGGACTACAGGCATGTGCCATCATGCTGGGCTAATTTTTTGTATTTTAGTAGAGATTGGGTTTCATCATGTTGGCCTGGATGGTCTTGATCTCCTGACCTCGTAATCCACCCA